ATATATATATATATTTATATATATATATATATATTTTTATATATATATATATATATATATATATTTTTTTTTTATATATTTATATTTTTTTTTTATATATATATATATATATATATATATATATATATATATATATATATATATATATATATATATATAATATATATATATATAAAGGGTGTCACGATCTTCCAAATCCTCGATTCGATTACATTTTCGATTCTAAAGGCACGATTCGATTCGATTATGAATAATTAATTAATTATTGACCAATTAATTATTTGTAGGCTACTGTTTAAACTACCTGACCTGCATGGTCTTTGTTTTACCCATAAACAAATCATACAGTAAATGAATAAAGGCAAGTTACACACATAATTACACCTGTCAATCACTTTTTCTGCGGGACTCGTGAATAGGCAGTGATCTGTGTCGTTATAATGGCGTCGATAAAAAAGACGCACAACCAACAGGAACCAGCCAACAGTATCTGAGGTGTTCGCTAAAATGACTAAGTACAAGTGAGTGAAAGATTGAAGCAGTCCTCTGACTGCCTGGACCTGCTGTCTCGAGCACATGGCTGTGTGTGTGCGTCTGTGTCTGTGTGTGTGTGTGTGTGTGTCAGAGGTAGAGAGGAAGGAGGGCTGCTCAGAAATGCTACACGCCACTGTGGATGTCAAATCGTTGTCATTCTAAAATGCCATTTAAAAACAAAGACAGTGTAAACAGGGACTGAGTGTGAATTTTTCGCGAGCGGATTTGCAACGGGGGCGGGCGGAGGATCGCGATGCCGGTGTTGTCTATCGGACAAATCGTACGTAATGTACATAGCACAGCTTGCAAAACTGTGTTTTTTGTCGACAACACGAACGTTGTCAGCATAACTCACTGGAAATCCAAAATGCTTGCACACCGGCGACTTCATTGAAAGAGGAGAGGGTTTAAGTTCTGTCGACGGGTCTCCTGCTTCTGCAGTTCAACAAGCACTTCAACAAGTCTGTTTTTTCCGCTTGGCAAGCCAAGCTGACGTGACATGGGGGCGTGGCAGCATCGACGATTCTATTTTTTGATTCGATAATCGAAATTGAGCATAAATTTGACACCCCTAATATATATATATGGGCAATTCCAAGCAAATGTCAACCTTGCCATAAAAAATTATTTAGTTTTCAGCAAAATAGAGAAACCGTTTCTACATTTTTTGTGTTAGCAAGTATTTTACAGTACTGTAAAAATACTCGTGAATGTATCTGTCAGTATTTCAAACTATTATATTTAATTTGCCAAAATCACACAAGCGGCAATTTCACAGCTGTCACATCCATAACGGAAATGTGTCACATCCATAACGACACTTTTTCTTCATAAATGCAAAAATGTCAAATTAAATAAAATTAATCATTTTAATTCTATAGTGAGCCGACTCATACCTGTTTGATGAGCATTGTGTCTTTTGGGTTGTGCAGTTTAACTGTCAGAATTTCTAAATAATCAGTTGTCGACTGTAAATTCGCAAACTTTTTTTGTCACATCCATAACGCATGTTTATTTTCCTAATTTAAAATATAAAACATGTTTACATATTGATATTTTTCTGCTCCCATAACTCTGTGGTGAGCTGTTTTGGAAAATATAAACAGAAGTTTCGATATAATGTCAACATATACTTTCTGTGTGAAATTATGTTTTGAGTTTTTACTGCAAATGTCACATCCATAACGCTGGAATTGCTCATATATATATATATAATGACCCTTTTTTAGAGCGTAATGTGATCATAAACCAAACTCAATGTTGTATTATTATAATTTTTTTGAAAATAAACATTTAAATGAGACTTTTTACCTTAATGTGTTGGATTTATGCATATTTGACCCAACATTGGGCTGCAACAACCCAGTGTTTTGTTTGTTTGTTGTTTAGAGTGAAGGATTGTGTGTAGGTGTGTCTGCTGACTCTTATCACAGTGTTAGTTACGTAATATATTTCCCATTGAAGTGTTTACTCTACTATAGTACAGGCCTGTGCTTAATGTCCACTCAATAGTTCAGAAACCACCATATAATAAGAGCTTTGACTGAAAGCAGAGGGTGAAAGGTGGCTCCATTGACCCACGGCAAACACAAACAGAAGATCCAGCTCAACCAGTCAGTGCAGTAATGATCGTCTCCTTAATTAAAGACTCATTAACCCTTCATTAACCCTCTATGCTGTTTGTTTTCTTCAGCAGGACGGACTGGGCATGCAGAGACTCAACCCTTTCAGATCTTCTCCACAGGTTTGGGCTTTTATTTATTTGTATTAGTGCAATAACATCAAATCAAGTACAATGTATATGAG